ATCAGATATTGTCCAAGATTAACCTTCAGGGTGGATATAGCTCGCTAGCAGCCTCGCACCGAAATTTAAATTTACAAAAACTGAACAGCCTACAGTATTTTTACGTACCCTTTTCTGTCTCAAGACCAGAGTTATAAAGTAACTAAGTACAAATACTTTTTTACTGTACTTAAGTAGAAATTTTCAGCCTACTTTTTACTTCTACTCCTTACATTTTTACACAATTATCTGTACTTTCTACTCATTGCATTTTTTTAAAGTAAGAAGTAGAAAGTCGTTTCTCCTATTTCATTTCAGCTTGTTGTTGTAAAAAAAATACTAGCCTGAAAAATCGTGGCTCCTGGATAGAGTTAATTTCATTGTATAAGTATAAATAATGATACTGTATTTAGTTTGTATACAATTAATCAAAGTTTCACTCCTAGAAAAAATATTTTTTGAAGAGGTCACCTCCCAATAAATGTATTTTGGAAAACATAACCGCTCATTTTTTCTCAATACTTTTACTTTTACTACTTAAGTACATTTTATGTCAGAAATTTACTTTTGTTACTTAAGTACAAAATAAATCAGGTACTTTAAAACGCTCAAGAAATATTCTTAGAGGAGACTTGAACTTTTACCAAAGTATTTTTATGATAAGATACTTGTACTTTTACTCGAGTATCACTTTCAGGTACTTTATACAACACTGCTCATGATCATAGTCTTGGATTTGGAGGCACTGATCCTCATCCCATCTGGGAACCGCTCCAGTGAGAGCTGGAGATCAGGATCTGATGAACAGGACCACATCATCTGTAAAAAGCAGAGCTGTGGTCCTGAAGTAAACATGGATCCCCTGAACACCTTCAGCGAGGAGCTGAAGTTAGCTGTCACAGATAAAACAGCCGAATATTTACACGAGGTGTAAACAGTTACAGTAAAACTGAGTCAAACTGAGACGAGCTCTGACTAATCTTAGTTATAAAACACTTTTATTATGAAACAAACGTTTCTTCAGCCTCATAATGAAGAGAAACTGGATGCTTCAGAGCAAGAGGAGAGCAAACTGGATTTAAAGGAAAGTAACAGTTTCACAGAGGAGAGTAAAGATTATAGCTGCGGTGTGATATTTAGTGTTTTTATAAGAAAGACAGTTTCCTGCAGAGGCTGCAGCTGAACATCAAAAGCTCTTAAACATCTCTGAACCCAGATCTGTGGCACTCTCAGAGAAAAGGAGCTGATTTCTCCCTCGTCTCTGTTTGTTTGTGTCGGTGATCAGAGCACTGAAGGGTTTCTGCTCTGTCCTTCCTGTTTCGCCTCATGTTTGCTTGAAACATTCGGCTGTGAGACGACCTGAACGACTCAGCAGGTGAAGTCTGATGGTGACAAAACCAAATAAAAAAAACACTGGTTTTCAGCAGGGCTGTGTATTGGCAAGAATTTGGCGATACGATACATATCATGACAGAGGGGTCACGATACGATATATCGCGTTATATTGCGATACTATAAGCAAGGTGATATATTGCGATTTTTTTTGTCCAAAAATCCTATTAAATAAAAACCTCTTACTGGGGAAAAAAATGAAAAACCAAAATTTACTTACAATGCTAATGCTACCACAATAGCCTCTACCTCAAGATGTAGAGGAGCCAAATGTCTGGCTCACTGCTGCCAACTAGTGGTCAGAGGCTGAACTACAACATAAAAATGAGCGGCTGGCAGGAAAGTTGACGTTTTAAACCTTAATTAAAAAACGATACAGGACTTTAGAATATCGATACAGTATCGGGAAATGAAATATCGCGATATTTCAGTGTATCGATATTTTCTTACACCCCTAGTTTTCAGTGCCACGCCCATCTGCACCTGTACCCTGTTCCATCAGTCACAGCTGCAGACACTCACCTCATCGGCCCCTGTCTTTATGGTCCTTCAGTTTAACCTCAGCTGTTGTTTGAGCTTTGTGCCATGGCTGCTTGGTCCAGTTTTATTAAGACCTGTAAGTTTTATTTTAGTTTCTAACAGCTTTTGTTGACTTTCTTTGAAATAAACTGAATTTGATTTGAGTTTCTCGTGCACGCTGTGTTCTTCCATTCAGACCCTACAAACGACAAACATTTTAGTTTTGTGAGACACAAACATCTAAAACTTCTACCGTGTCCTGTTTGAAGTCTGTCTCTTTTCATCACATTAGTTTGTAATATTAGATAATTCTGTTTGGAGCATCTGAGTTCAAGTAAAGTAATAAATATATTTTTTACAGTATATGTTCCAGAACCAGGAAGCAGAAGCGTTTCCTGCTGAAAGCTGTGAGGAACAGTGACTCGGAGTCATGGATCGTCCCTGTTCCAAGTGAAAGGTAAGAGTTTTAACACATAAAACCAAAGGCAGTGTGCCAGGACCAGGACTGGATGTTTATTTTATTACACGATTAAATTTCAATCAAATGACTAAAATCTGAGTCTAAACAACTACAAGAGTGTAACAACAGAACAACAGAAATCACATCATCATCGGCGTAAAGCTTGAAATCAGACTTTGTGCAGCTTGATTTGTACAAAACATTTCATCAACAGAGCAGAACCTGCAGGTACCGTTTGTACAGTTACACAGTCAAAAACTAACGGCAGTACTTTGCTTTATTTAACCTTTCAAAATAAAAGAAATAAGGGTTATTTTTCAAGTCATATTTTAATCTTTTGTAAATGTCATAGTTCAAAACTAAAGATTAAAATTGGAGCTAAAAATTGAGTTTACAAACTCAATATTTACTTCCAAACTAAACATTTAATTTCCAAACTAAATATTTAATTGTCAAACTAAATATTTAGTTTG